TCAAATGGATTGGATTTAAATGGATTGGATTAAGTGGATAATTTGGTGGATGGATTGGATTGGATTCATGGATTTGGATCCCAATTGCCACCTCTATATTTAACCGCATCAAAATAACCATAACCAATCAATCATATACTGCAAGTTCATCGTATCTACACAATAAATAAAAGCCAAATGAGAAAACTTGAAGCCCCATTTCAAATTTCCTGCATCCAGAGTGAAAGTAGGAAGGGTAGATTCGTCTTCGCAGTTATTTATTAACTTCTTATTTACAGAAAAAAAACACATCGTTAATGAGATTTGAACCATGGTCTCTTCGAACAAAGATAAGAAACATAACCAGTTACAATAAACACATTTGTGTGACCTTTTCAAATAAAAAACATACAGGAAGCTTAAATCTAAAAAATCATAGGACTTTTCCACCATGGTTAGCAACCGAAATGTCATTGATTCAAATATTGCATACCGAATTGCACTCTCGAATGTCTAGAAGCGATGTAGAATTCTTAACATAAACTTAATTGTTATAACTACCATAAAGTAAGAATATTTTTAAACAAAAAACTTTTGAGTGAATATGGGGCACATGTGTCTTTAAGAGAGGGGTAAATATGGAAAGGTTAAGTGATGTTGGTTTGCCGAACGCGGATGGAAAAGACACTACTAATGTAAACGAGCCCAATTAGTGCCCCGACCCACTAAACGCTCAACCATCATCGTCTCTCCAAACTTTCCGTTAGACTCAACAGCCGGCTAACCTCCTCTGCCTCTATTGTTACGCTAGAGCAATTTAGATGGGTAAATACGGAAAGATTGAGTGTTGTTGGTTTGCCCAAAGCGGATGGAAAAGGCGCTACTAATGTAAACGGGCCCAAATAGTATCCGACCCACTAAAAACTCAATCACTCGGGTTACTTTCGCTAAACCTAATATAATAGTGAAATGGGAAAGATGTTTCCCCCATTAGAAAATCCTTGCATCCATAGCAAAATTAGGAAGGGTAGATTCGTCTTCACACTCATTTATTATTTTCTTATTTACAGGAAAAATACATTGGTGATGGGATTTGAATGGTGATCTCTTTGAGAAAAGACAAGAAACATAATCACTTACACTAAAAAAATTTGTCTAAACTTTTTAAATTAAAAACATACAGAAAGTATAAATCTGGAAAATCATAGGAATTTTTTGTCATAGTTAGCTAAGCCACTAACTCTACCCTAAATATATTTTTGGTATTTGATACTTCTATTTTCATACTTTGATTATTTTAATTCAAATTTAATAATTATTTCTATTTCTATTTATCTTATAAAAGGAGAATAATTTTAAATCGCAAGCCTAATGTCATTGGTGCAAATATTGCACATCGAATTGCACTATTGAATGTGTAGAAGCGATGCAAAAATCTTGACCTGGACTTAAATAATATAACTACCATAAAGCAACAAAATTTTTGAACATAAAGTTTTGATTGAATATGGGGCACATGTGTCTTTACAAGATGGTTAAATATGGAAAGGTTGAGTGATGCTGGTTTGTCGAATGCGGATTGAAAAGACGCAACTAATGTAAGTGGGTCTAAATGGTGTCCCGGCCTACTAAACGCTCAACCATCATCGTCTCTCCAAACCTTCCCACCGGACTCGACAACCGCCTGACCTCCTCAACCTATATTGTTACGCAAAGCAATTTTTGGAGGGGTAAATATGGAAAGTTTGAGTGTTCTTAGAGAGCTGACTGGTGGATTGTTTAGCTTCTTTGACAGTAATGAGTGATCTCTTAACATCAGTTCATTTGGTTGATCTTCTAGGTTGACTTTTGAGTTGATTAAAGATAAACAGAGTCCCGGGCTCCCGGGCTACTAAACGCTCAACCATTGTCGTCTCTCCAAACCTTTAAATCGGACTCGACAACCGCCTAACCTTCTCCACCTATACTGTTATGCAAAGCAATTTTCGGAGGGGTAAATATCGAAAGGTTGAGTCTTCTTGCTTGAAGAGCTGAATGATGGGTTATTTAGTGTCTTTGAGAGCAATGTGTGATCTCTTAACATCAGTTCATATGGCTGATCTTCTACGTTGACTTTTGAGATGATTAAACATAAATAGCTATATTTTTTGTTGCTTTTGTTATGATACCCCTGTTTAGTATCATCATTTTTCCGATTTGAAATGTTTTTGTGGTTAGTTTTCAGTAAACAATGCATATTCTGATTAGTGTTAACATAGGGAATAGCTTCAATCATAACACTTTTACACAAAATTTCTATATAAGAGTTGAGATCATTTCCAAATTAAACTATTCAAGTTATAATGCTAATCTTCAACATATAAAACATGGTTTCTTTTGAGTGGAATAACTTCATGATTGCATATAAGTATTTACATTATGATGTTTTGTGACAGTGTCACTTGCTTCCAGATTTAAAAGTGGTGTTCTAATTACTACAATATAAAAAATACGAGTGATAACCATAATTGGAGCAGATAGAGGATGATTTGATATCATTCTCTCTGCAAGGAATAAATACATTGTGAGAATATGTTGTCATGGGAAGGACAAACCGAACTCTTTGTGTTTTTAGTATAGCATGTTGATATATATGCATGTCTAGACCCGATCGATTGGACATCTCCACCTGGAATTTATTGAAGGGATTTTTGCTCCTCAAAGCCGGTGGCAAGTAAGCTCTCTCCTTAATCATTATATTTTTCTTAATTTGCACATGCACACCCTTTTAGGAAACATGTACGGAATTGTAATTTGAGTGCTTCATTAGTGTTGTTTCCATAAGATTGTATTATCTAAGGTGGTTGTTCTAGAATTGTGAATCGTGATTTTATCTCCTCTAAGAAATTGTCAAGTGAAGCTATAAAAGAGGTCAACCTGAGTTTCCTATTTAATTTAGATGGTAAGAGAGCAATGACTTACATCAAATTGATTGGGGGTTGACAATGTATGGGAAACGGTTTAGCCTTCTTCAGCGCATCACAAGATCCTTATAGTATCTCAACCAAAGCAATTTTTGTTTTCATGCATGATGTTGATACAAGTTGCTTACATAGAAGAGAACCCCAACAAGTTAGCTTTTGGAGTTGTGAAGCGAAAATGGGTGAGACAAAAATGGTTTATACAAAAGGTCATACAATGATCGTATAAAATATGTTGGTAGAGATAGTCATCAATCTCATTTTATTGCAGAAGCCACCGAGGAGAAGAGAGGAATCGCCATTGGTACTCTAAATTTTACAAGACTATTATAATGATCATTTCTTTCATTTCATGTAAATTTGTATTATGACTGAAATGATATTATCTCAAGCCATAAATTGCAGCAAGGAATGGTAGTTTGAATTAATGTGCAATGATGCAAAATGTCATGTAGCTTCCACGAAAAAGGAGTAAGAGTGGACCAATCAGTGTGTTTGCTGTAGAGAAGGATAAGAATCGTAATAATGGCTTGGTTTGGATTGTCTATTATAGTGTTTATGTTTTACTGTTTCTTTTGTAATGCAATGGGATAATGACTTTCCATCATATTATTATGGTATTGTTGACCTACCTCCGGTCATTGCCACATACATGTTAACGGGTAACATCGATTACAATCAAAGAGTCAATTTCCGAGACTACGTCCGGCCAAGGGCCGGGCAATGAGCTAGTAATATAGTATTGGATAAGCTAACAGAACTACGATGTAGGTTTTGTGCCGGAGAGCCTCCAGACGATGTAGGTTTTCTGCTTTGGTGATTATCTTTTGGTCATGACAATGGGACTATGGGAGATCAGTTCCCTCCAACACTGCATAACGGAAAGGCCCAAATTCTCATGTAGAGCATGGATCTACGTTCAGCTATTTATCCTACTATGGGCCTCTTCTATACTGAAAGAAGGAGCCTTCCTAAAAGTAATTTAGCCCATTTATTAGTTGGGCCACTTAGCTCCGCTCCGTTGAGGAAAAAGAAGAATAGAGATTTTTCGGGGTAATTAGCATAAAAGACCACGATTCTATTTACTTTGTACAAAATGATAATAAATCTTTCATTTTACACGTTTCAGTAATATTCATTTAAGAGAATAATGAAATGGTCATTTCGTCCATCTCCATCCAAAAAACCGTTAGTTTCGCCCAGTTAGGACGTCACATCACTTAAAATATTAATAAAAGATAAATTACAAAACCCAATTGAACCGGATAATCCAATCCAAAAACCAAAATCTATATGCACTCGAAATCTTGGAGACAGTAATAATTTCTGTCGCTTTCCTCTTGGTCGAGCGATTCAGCTCCCAAAAATTGCGATTCAGCTCCCGCCACCGATATCTTCCAACACGCGATTCGACGGGTATCGAGTTAGGGTTTTAGGTTGGGACTGGGTTGCCCAGTTCAATTGGGTTGGTGATTAATTTTTTATTACTATTTTGTAAGTGACGTGGCCTGTTGACTGGATGAAACTAACGATTTTTTGAATGGAGATGGACGGAATGACCATTTCGTTATTCTCTCAAACGTATGTTACTGAAACGTACAAAATGAAAGTTTTGTGATCGTTTTATACAAAGTGAATATGTTTGTGACCTTTTATGCTAATTAGTCGAGATTTTCGTTTCCAGAGTCCAAATGTCTATACTTAGGATAGCGATTCGTGAAGCGGGAGCGGGAGCGAGAGCGAGAGAGCGTTTATTTTGAAAGAATTCTACTTTTAGAGCGCTAAAAGAGCGTTAATATTATATTATTTAATTAAAATATCATTTAATATACTATCATATTTTGTACAAAATATTATTACACATCCAAGAAAAAATAAATTAAAGAAAGATCATTCAACAAATACACCCGTCACCCGTGTCAAGAAAGAAACACCTCTCTCTGTGGGCTGGATTAAGTTCAATGACTAAAGTGTAAGTTATCTAAAATAAAAAATGAGCCCAAAATAAGAAAGTATAAAAGTAAACAATGGCCCAACTACGGACCCAAAGCCAAATTAGGCCGATGATTCCTAGGCCTACTAAGCGAGTCCATTGCTTGTTAAATACCACTGTCTTATCCCATTCCTTAAACTGGGGACGATAAAAATAATCCGAAAGAAGAAGCAGATGAACTTGTTCAACTAGTCTAGATGATTCACAAACACCACGAGTTCAACAAGGATGAAAACTAAATAAAAGAAAAGTGAAGCAGGCAACCAAGCAATGAGCTACGCCCAGATTGCGTAGAGTTCCTGGCTAAAGCCCCAACTCTACGAATCCAGACACAAAACCTACGAACCCAATCCAACTATCCCAAGAACTAATCAGTTCTTCCTGAGAGTGGAAACCGTTGCCTCCTTTCTTCAACCTCGTGATATTTATAAAGATCTTCGGCAAGCATTCGCGATCTCTTTCTCTCTCTTCTTCAATATGAAGACCGTTAGCCAGTCTTTGGGGGAATTGATTTTGAGGACGATTGTCTGGGAAGTTGATGCTTCTGGCAGCTTTGATAGCTAGGGATTTTGGGAATGAAGGCGAAGACGCTTTAGCAATCTCGACGATGGCCAATGGGCTCTTTGGGCTCAACTTGAGAGGGCTTTGATCAGTTTTGTCGAGATGCCAGTGGGCCAGGGCCCAATAATCTCCCCCTGCGTTTGAGCTTTCATTCATGTCAACAAGTTCAGACGATATCAAAGCATCGAGTGTATGATCTTTCTCATAAAAGTACAGAGAATAAAGGAGCTGGATAGGTTTTACTCAAGAGATAAAATCAATGACCAATACTCTTTCAAACTTGAGCCATTATGGATAGATACTCTGGAATTCATTCGAGGATAAGAGTGCTTCAGAACAGATATTCACCACATATTGACCCTTATGGTCAGGGAAAACTTTTATTCACGAAATTCAACCAGCAATTCAAACAAAAGAGCACAGAACAGAACATATACCATACTTAGACCATTATGGTCACCAGCAATTTAAAAAAAAGATCACAGAACAGATCAGATACCACACTTAGACCATTATGGTCAGTTTCACCTTATTCAACTAGAGGGATAATCAGCAGAACATTATTTGAAGACACAAAGTTTTCAGACAAGTTTCAAGGACAGGTTTGTTTTTCTTTTGGCTCCCCCTGAGTCCCAGCCACACCTTCCATCATGTTTTCCTCCTGATTTCCAGCAACACCTTCCATCATATTCTCCTCCTGATTTCCAGCAACTCCTTCCATCATCTCTCTTTCCAGATCTTCAGCAAATAGTCTGATGTCCTTCTCAGACACTGTTTCTGGTTCAAGTTCAGCTTCTTCCTCTTCAAAGGAAATGATAAGTTTCTTTCGGATAGACGAGCCTGAATCTCCAAGATTTACGATTTTAGACTTGTGTTTGGTACGTCTAGCATTTGCTGGGTCCATAGATCCTCCCCCTTTCGAAGGCTGAGGCTCAACTCCAAGGAAGTTGAGGACAGTACAAGCAGGGACATAGACAGATGTATCAACCGAGGAGTAACCATCCAGGGAGAGACCAAGATTGGATAGGAGAAGAGTGATGAGGCCCCCATAGGGAAGACGGCCATCGAGGTGAGCATCAGCACTTCGAACAATAGAACCAAACAGGAGTTGAGTGTAGTCGATTTTTCTCCCAGTCAGTGCATTTGAGAGAACCCAGAGATCGAGTTTTGTGACAATATGAAGTCCATGGGAGCGAGGGAGAAAGAGGTGAGTGATAACATAGTGCAGAGTGCGAAGTGTGGGGTTGAGATCAGCAGTAGTGATGACCTCATTAGCAGCAACTCGTCGCTGAGTCACGCGTGAGTACTCTATTTCATAATCAAAATCATAGAAGAGGAATTCATCCTCGTGGGCCAGAGGAAGAGGTCCTCCTGTTGGAAGGTTTAGCAAAACCCCAATTGCCTCAGCAGTGAGTGATATGAAATAACCATTCACAAGAGTGGTCAGCTTTCTGGTGGTGATGCCTTGACAGTCAAGGTTTGCATAGAAGGTTTTGACAGGCAAGGGACAAGCAGCAAGAGGAGGATAGTGGAGTAGAAATTCCCAACCTAGGTTTCTAATGAAGGGAGCAATGTGTATTCCCGATGCTTTGAATTCATAGAGATCAAGTGAAATGGGATCAGAGAGTTGGCGGGAAGCAAAGAATTCTTTGAATCTATGATGATTGAATTCAATAGTTTCGTTGAAGGTCCTCCCAACATAGGTGATAATAGCGCCAGGAATGTTGGAGGAGGTGAATAATTCAGTCATGATGGGATCTTTTTCTGAGAGGGCTGAGAATGGTGATCGATGAAGATAGGTAGGGGGTATTTATACTAATCATAGGAGAATACTAAGAGCTACCACATTAATTTACGAAGACTACAGAACACAAGCAGTCAAACAGCTTTTGGTTTATTTCAATGCATGGGGAATTTAATCTGCACGTTCATGAACACTCATTCAAACAGAATAGAAAATCTAATCAAAACAAGGACATTTATTTAATTACAGAAGATAAGGAGAGTGCAGAACCTGGTTAATGTCCACTCTGAATCGAGTGAAGAGACCGAAGTCCAAGCTCATCACAGAGTCGAATGAATCTTTCAGAAGACAGAGCTTTTGTGAAAATATCAGCTAATTGAAATTCTGTGGATATAAAACTTAATTCTACTAGGCCAGCTTGAATTATGTCTCTAATGAAATGATGTTTGACTTCGATATGTTTTGTCCTACTATGATGAACTGGATTTTTTGACATGCAAATGGCACTTGTATTGTCACATAGGACAGGGATATTGTCAAAGTTTAGGCCATAGTCAGCTAATTGAGATCTTAGCCAAAGGATTTGAGTACAACAACTACCAGCAGCAACGTATTCAGCTTCAGCTGTTGAAAGCGCAACAGACCCTTGTTTTTTACTTGACCAAGATACTAAAGACCCCCCAAAAAATTGACAAGTTCCACTAGTACTTTTTCTGTCAGTCATGCTTCCAGCAAAATCTGAGTCAGAATATCCTGTGATAAACCCTCTGATTTAGCATACCATAAACCAAGATTGTGAGTTCCTTTTAGGTATCTAAATGTTCTTTTGACTGCAACAAGATGACTTTCTTTAGGCTGACTTTGGAATCTAGCACATAAGCAGACACTGAACTGAATATCAGGTCTGCTAGCAGTTAGATATAGTAGTGACCCTATCATCCCTCTATATCTTTTCTCATATAGTTGTTGTCCATCTAAGTCATGATCTAAATGTAAGTTAGATGCAATGGGAGTTTTACAGGGACTGACATTCATCAAGTTGAATTTGGTCAACATAGAAGTCAGGTACTTAGTTTGATGAATAAATATTCCAGAATCAGTTTGATGGATTTGAAGGCCTAAGAATAAGGTCAATTCTCCCATGAGACTCATTTCAAATTGATCTTTCATGATAAAGCAAAATTCATCACACATGTTAGGGTCAGTGCTTCCAAACACAATGTCGTCTACATAAACCTAAACTATTAAAGTGTGATTGTTTTTCCTTTTGATGAAAAGAGTTTTGTCTAGTCCCCCTTGACTGAATCCTTGAGATATTAAAAACGAGGTTAACTTTTTGTACCAAGCTCTGGGAGCTTGTTTGAGACTATAGAGGGCTTTGGAAAGCTTAAAGCCATGGTCAGGGAATTCAAAATCAATAAAGCCAGGAGGCTGCTCAACATAAACATCTTCCTTAATTTCACCATTCAAGAAAGCGCTTTTTACATCCATTTGATAGAGTTTAAAGTTCATTAGACTGGCATAAGCACATAGAAGTCTGATTGATTCTATCCTAGCAACAGGAGCAAAGGTTTCATCATAATCAATTCCTTCCTCTTGATTATACCCTTGTGCAACAAGCCTAGCTTTGTTCTTAATGATAAACCCTAATTCATCAGATTTATTCCTGAATATCCACTTGGATCCAATAACAGTTATGTTAACAGGTCTAGGAACAAGTTCCCAGACCTTTAATCTAAAAAAGTGAGACAATTCTTCTTGCATAGCAAGTAACCACTCTTCATCAAGCAAAGCTTCCTTATAGTTTTTAGGTTCAAGTAATGACACAAAGGCATATTGCCCTGGGATGTACTTACCTCTGGTCTGGATAGGATCTGACATGTTACCTATAATTTGTGATGGAGGATGCCTCCTTCTGATGTGAGCGGGTGCTTCAGGTTCTTCAGGGGAGTCATTCTCGTTTGGAGCAGCTTGAGGAGCAGGAATGACTTCAGCAGAGTCATTAGTATTGGAGGATTTGCCTGTCTCAAAAAGAGGACTAATAGGAAGAAAGTCATAGTACTTATATCAGAGTGCAAGGGCAGGGGTAAATCAGATGAGTCGAATTTAATGTGAACAGACTCCTCAACTTTTCTATACCTTCTATTATAAACTCTATATGCTTGTCCTTTACTGGAGTATCCTAGGAAAGTAGCTATGTCAGATTTGGCATCAAATTTTCCAATTTGATCCTTAGTGTTAAGAATGTAGCATTTATAGACAAAAGGATGAAAGTAGGAAAGCTTAGGTAATTTTCCTTTCAATATTTCATAGGGAGTTTTATTCATTATTTTCCTAATGGTAGTGCGATTCATAACATAACATGCAGTGTTTACAGCCTCTGCCCAGAGGAACATAGGACAGTCAAATTCAAGAAGCATAGTTCTTGCTGATTCAATTAGTGATCTATTCTTTCTCTCCACAACTCCGTTCTGTTGTGGAGTTCTAGGAGCAGAAAAGGTGTGTAGAATACCATAATGCTCACAGGAATACTAATCATAGGAGAATACTAAGAGCTACCACATTAATTTACGAAGACTACAGAACACAAGCAGTCAAACAGCTTTTGGTTTATTTCAATGCATGGGGAATTTAATCTGCACGTTCATGAACACTCATTCAAACAGAATAGAAAATCTAATCAAAACAAGGACATTTATTTAATTACAGGAGATAAGGAGAGTGCAGAACCTGGTTAATGTCCACTCTGAATCGAGTGAAGAGACCGAAGTCCAAGCTCATCACAGAGTCGAATGAATCTT